GTCATTAAAATGCCTTTTTTATGTTTTTATGTTGATCGTGTTTGAAATTAGTTTCCGTCAATTTGGTCTACCCTTAATTTCCTATAGCTTCCGCTATGAAGTCGAGCAATCTGAAATTATTAAAATATCTAGTATCCCTAAATTCGCCATATGCATTCATTTTTCTCCACAAGAAGCAATATAAGGTTTTGTAATGAATCATGAATGTTCTTTGTAATTTATCCAATTAAGATCCTTCCCTTTAAAGGTAGACATGTCATAGGTCTGTAATTATATTCAAGTCTATTACATTGTCTTTTTTTCTGCAAATGTTTGAAGAATTATTATTATTCTCAAAATTATTTTTTTCTAATTTCTAGAACAGGTTCTTTGATTTCAGCTCGTTTTATGCACCCATATCCAAATTCTCGTCGTTTGCACAGATCCCAATGTGCCATTGTTTTCACTCTGCCACATCTGTTTTACTTTTATAAAGAAATATAAACTGATTCGATAACCTTATTTTCTCATGATTTAATTCTTATTTCTTCTTCAAGAGTACAATTTAATTTGATGCATAAGATTTGAACTCTGGCCCACCTCAGATTAGAGAAGTATTTGTTTCCGAATCTATTCAGACATAAAATTTAGTTTAGTTAACAATTCCCGACTCTAGGAGGAGTTCTTTGATAAGAGTCCCGTCAATTTACTTTAAAAAGATAAATTTATTTCCATATAAGAGTAATACTAAAAACAAGAAAATAGACGAATGGCATAAAATGCTTGAATTTGTATTTTGACAAGAAGAAATCTAGAAGTAAGAATTTGCAGCAATCAAATAAGAACTAAAAGAAAATAATCTTCTATGCAATGAAAGCCAAAGAACCATCTGGAAGACATTACTGTACGTAATAATATATTCACTAAGACATGAGAAGTGAGCGGCAGTGTTTATAGAGCCACGATACGCATAAAATATTACAGTCAAAATGAAGATGTGGACGAGCAAACTTTATAAATTAACACTTCAAAAGATTATATACGGCTACCTAATAAGGTGTAATTCCTATTTTCATCTGAATTTCGGCGGATAATCAACAGGGCATGGATCCTGCAACATGATGGAGGCATTGTGTAGATGCATCTATGTACGTTCCAGGAATGTCTATTTGTTTGTTTGGCCTGGCTTCAGGGAATTTAGTGATGTCTTCAACAATGGGAATTAAATATGGCGAGCGCGAGGGTGAAAATAACTACCAACAAGTCAGTTGAATAATAATAATAATAATAATAACAATAATAATAATAATAATGATAATAATAATAATAATAATAGTAATACATTGACGTAGTCATCCTTATAGATCATACTTCATTATAGGGGCATTGTGAATTACATGATTTACATGCTGTATGGAATTTGGAGTTTTCCTTCTTCTAAGTTGGTTGCCAACCACAGCTAGATAATCCATTCTTATTTGTTATTTAAAACTTAGTCGAAACGAGAAGAGATGGATTTATACGTTTTACAATGTTTTTACGTGATAATGAATGCAAAAAGATTGGATCACCGATTTCTTGGTCCGAGCTGCTAACCCTAAGCCTAACTCTAAATATGCAGCAGATAACATTAACTCATTATTGCCTATCCTACCTAGTTCTATTTCGTTATATAAGAAAGAATCACCTTTTGTTTGTAATCATTTAACTCCAAGAAAGGCGTTAATGCCACTAAGATGCAATGGGGTCACTGAGACTAGAAGAGAATGAGAAGACTTTAGTGAGGAGAAAGGACAATAAAAGAATAAGATTCACGAAGACAGAAGATAGTGATAACGACAATAAGACGCAAGGGGTTACTGGGTGTGAAAGAGAATGAGAAGACTTTAGTGAATAGAAAAGAATTAAAGAACAGCTTTCATGCCACCACGACACAAGGGGTTACTTGTAGTGAGAGAGAATGAGAATAGTCCAATGAGGAGAAAGGACAATAAAAGAACAGGGTTCAGGAAGACAGAAGATGGCAATTATGCCACCAAGACACAAGGAGTTACTGGAAGTGAAAGAGGATGAGAAAACTTTAGTGGAGAGAAAGAGCAATAAAAGAACAGGATTCAGGAAGACAGAGGATGGTGATAATGCCAATGAAATGCAAGGGGTTACTGTGAGAGAAAGAGAATGAGGAGAAAGGGCAATAAAAGAACAGGTTTCAGGAAGACAGAGGAGAATTCATTAGAATGATTGCCATGAAGATATTTATGCAAAAGACGGAGAGAAGCCACGTCATGGTGGTGGGAAAGTGACTGAAGTCGATATGCCAGGTCATGATCGATAACATTACAGACCCTTCCTTGTAATTTGTCGAAAATCTCGAGATATTTAGTAGAGACACCAGGCTAGATATGGAAGCAATATTCAATGCACGCACGCATGGTTAATTTATAAATGGATGCATTCTGACGAGAAAAATCTGTTGGCACGACACAGTGAACCAACCTTCCTAGCAGTTGATTAAATATAATCGTTCCACTTCATTTGAGTGAGACCAAGAAAGCGCAATGAGTCGCTCTCCTAGTGGTTAACATCAGCCGTGCAAATCAAAGGCAAAGATGGTCCTCAATGATGATTAAAGGATGGCAGTTTTGGAATTATATGCACCTTTGTGCAAATTAATTGAAACAGCCGCTTTAGTTTCCTTTCTTTCAAAATACGGTCAGTTTTAGACCCACTGGTGTGACAGGGTCTAATCGATCTATTTTCTCCGATTAGGTCATTTTCAGTGGTGTACAGTAATATGAATCTATTTTCGGGGTTTATGATGAAATATTTTTGGTCTTGAAAAATATTGCGTCATCCGTGATTGCATCAGATTTTCATCACGCCCAGACACTAATGTCTCGACTGTCGATTAGTTGTTCTACGGCCATTGTCTGCGATGGACGTTACTCCAAGGAAGCGTAAGAAAATTGTAACGTTGCACGAAAACACTAACAAGCCTTACCAGTGAGCAAATCAAAGTTCTAGTGACTGGCACTGAAACTTTGCTGATTTAAATCCAATCAAGAATATGTGGTCAATCTGCAAGGAACGACTTCGTAGAACGGGCCTACGAGGTACTAACATGTGTATTTGGTCATTTTTCATTGGAAAAATACGAAAAAAATTAAATAATAACGGAATTATTCGTTTTGCTTCAATTAATTTGCACAAGGGTGTATTTAATTTTGTTATGTCGTCAGAAAAAAAAAACATCTTCTGAAGTTGATTTCGTCTCAAGACTGGCCGACATAAATTATTTATATACTCCATTGCTTTTACAATAAATGAGCACATTTATGTTTCTTAATTTGGAAAAATAGGGAACCATATCGAAAGATTGTAATCAATCCATGATGTAATAGAGTTTTCTTTCTTTAGGCTTCTTTCGAGATCAAAGCATCAGTTCTTGTAGTTTCGTTTTTGGTATCTTCCTTCTATCCTTTCGTACGTAGGTGTTACGTTATCTGGAGGAGAAAAAAAACATCACCTCTCACTAAGCTGTAAAAGTGAGAAAATTGTCTGAAACAATATATTTGTTTAGCTCCAATTTCATTAGTAGTCTTTTTAAACATCAATTTTATGCACCCAACACCATTATTAAGCTTGCGTAACAGACTATTGACAGGCTTGATCTATAGTTTCATGGGGTAATCTTCACAAACTCTGCTAACAGTTCAGAAAAGGTGAAAACGAGGCTACATGGATCATGTACCAGTTTCACAATCCAATGATTTAAATTTTATAATTTCAATATGAAATTGCTACAAATATTTATAAATTTGTAAATATTTTAAGATGGGTTAGTAGAGTTAATTGCAATTATAGAGAAACGCTAAACTGAACTTAGTGACAGCTGCTGTTATGAATGTGTATAAGACCAAGAAAGAATAATGACTGTAAAACTCTTTGAAAGTCTTCGGGTATTCACCTGAAGATTAGTTAAACAACATTTGTGCTCAAGCTTCTGTACAAAGTGTAGATGGTGCACCCAGGCTTTCATTTGTTTTCGCTCATGAAAGAGGCACACTGAGTTTAGCTGAAAGAGGCAACTCTTAAATGTTTAAGAAAACACATCGAAAAAGCAAATGGCTGTCATAGAATTTATGTATTTGGAATAAGAAAGAACTGTAAACATTCATGGGAAGTGAATGAATATTTATGGAAAGGTTGTGCGTGATGTAAACACAGTAAGGAGATTGTTAAGTTGAATTAATTGCAGTACTAGAAAGAACACATTTGCCATTTTGGAGGTTAAGCTGTAAAAGTTTCAACAAAGTTTTTTCTCCTAGCCGAGCACATTATCAAAACTACGCGAAAGACATTTTTGTGCAACGCCACATTTGAAGATGAATAATGCGCTTTAGAAATATAAAAATGCAAGACCACACGGAAGTTTAAAGATGAGACAAGTAGTCATTAGCGAATAAATCACCTTTTTTTCGATTTTTAACGAGCGTTTTTCTTGAATTAACGCCTTATTTCATTCAACCGTAAATATAATGGTGAACATTTTACAAAATTATCTAATCATCTAATTTAATATATATTCATGTGAAAAATAAAAGGACATTTAGTCCGTTCAAAATACAACACGATTTTTTAAAACATTTCACTCTGTGCAAGGTGGTGAAGCCCCTAAGACGTAAATGGGTTACAGAGAGTGAAAGAATATGAGAGAAAAAATGATAGAGAGGAGTGGGCAATAAAAGAAAGTAATCAAGGAATTCGAAGATGACAATTGTCGTTGCATTTAAATTTTTGAAGCTGGCATCAAAAAAGCTTGAAAATAGCTGCACAGACGAGAAGTGCGAATGAAGAAAATGTTAGAAAAGAACTTGCGGTTGCAAATATCAATTTCAACATTAAAAAGATGAGACGTAACGGCGAATCAATAACTGCATTTAAATTCAGAGAGGCTGCGACGGTGAATATTTAATAAAATATATTATAAAATTAAATCTAAAATAAAAAAATATGACTACGAATATGAAAATATTATATATATATATATATATATATATAGATAGATAGATAGATAGATAGATAGATAGATAGATAGATAGATAAACAAATGCTTAGAGGTACAAAATCTGTATACTGTTGGGGATATTTTATTTTAACTGTCCATAATAATGGACGAATATTTTCTATGAAAATTTCTCGGACATTCAGGACGGTAAATGTTATTTAATACTGTTTATTATAAACAGAGCATTTACTTAAATATTTGTATCTATAAAAAGAATGTTAAACATAAAAATGTCTTAAAATAATTGTCGGACTTTGCCCATTTCATAATATATATACATATATATATATAATGTAATTGTTCTTTGAATTTAGTCGTAATCTTTCTAAATCCCTTTCTAATGCTTAAAATAAAAATTTAATTGATAATAAATATCTAATGCTTTTCTTTCTAAACTGTACTGGATTTTTATTAAGAGACTAGCAGTAGAGCCTGGCGTTGCCCGGGGATGTAACAGTAAGAGATAGATCAAGTATCGACCATCATAAAGACTGAAAAATAAAATTGACAAATTTATTGTTTAAGGTTGACGGACATGCATGTCTTAATTAGTTTTTTGTTTTGTTTTGTTTTGTTTTTTGTTGTTTTTTTTTACGAATTGGTCAAACCCAAACTCAAACAAAAACATTGTTTTCAATCGTTATGAGTCTACCGATTGAATAGAATTTTATTATAAACAATTGTCTTGTAAATGGAATTTTTAAAGCATTCTGAATGTAAAAATAAAGAAAAAAGTGTGCAAGTCAATAAGAAACACTACCTGCCAAAAAAAGTGAAGTTTTGTTGAAGTCAGTTGAATAATGTAGGAAATCCGATCCCATATATAAACGAACACACACACACACACACACACACACACACACACACACACACACACAACAACCTGGGTTTTATAATAAGTATAACTCGATATGAGTTGTCCCCCTTTCATTCTCGCGATGCCTCTTAATCGTGTTTTCAAATTGATTTTGTGCAAAAACAATTATGTTTTTCTAATTTTGGGTGCTGTCAGAACCACCGCAAGGTAATTTTACATAGTCCTGTGAAGTTTTGTTGAAATCGGTTGAAAAATGTAGGAAATCCGATCCAATATATAAACGTACAGACACACACACACACACGCACACAACCTGGGTTTTACAATAAGTATGATTCACGATAAGATTTTGCGTTATCAATCAATTCAATATTTTATCCTGTAAATTGTTTCCAGTCAAGACTCAGAGTTGGTGAAAGAGTTGTATACCCAAAATAAAATTCCAGCAAAACCCAAAAGTCCAGCTCTTATTCATCCCTGAACGCGCTACAGCCATTACTTGAATATCTATCACAAGGAGCGGTGAAGTTGGACACTTGCAGCATTCAGAACTTTTACAGCTAGAAAATTCTAGAAAATGCGAAGTTTAGCTATGCACAAGCGGTCTAAGCCAAGGTTGAAAGCAAACAAATTAGATCCTTAGATTTCTGCAAGATCTCCGCCCGAATTCTGAATAGAGCCAAATCGTCTGTGCCCACTATTTTTAAATGACTCCGGGGTCATATCTTCCTCGTTAGATGAGGCAAAGCTCTTCGCCTCAATCTTAGCCTCTAACTCAACGTTAGATGGTATAGAACATCCCCTTACCGTCTCCCCCACTTCTCAGTGAGTCTTCATCCTAAGAAAGTCACTGGTGCAGAAAAATCCCAGTGGTTGCGAAGAATATCAACTCGTAATTATCCCCGATCTTAGCAAAATTATTTAACCGCTGCTTGAAGGAGAAATGAGTGCGGGTGAACGCTCATCCCCTTCTCCGTATTGACTCTACAGTGCCATTAGCAAGCTTTTGCGGGGCTATAATCAACTAGTAGGTTGTTGATTGCATATATAGGAACAACCACTTAAGGGACAGGCAATGCGTCATCGATCGGTACGATTCATTGATAGTGTTCTACCTACTATTATTTAGAGAATTAGTGAGGTACTAAACAATAAATATTCATACAGAATCAGTAAGGTACTAAACAAATATTTCTCAAGGACTATCTTATTAGATATTTCAAAGGTCTAATTGCTGCACAAGTTCTCTAGATATGAAAACACTGGAATTATAAAGTTTTCTCCTAACGGGTAGGTCCCTGGAGGTAGTTTTTAGCGGCAATCAAAGCAGGCACCCAAAGATGTCGTTTCTAGGATCAGCTGACTTTTATATTTTATATAAATTATCTAAGCTTATACTCCGATCATTTATGAATATCTACCCTTATGCCACATATCGATGCACCTCCAAAACTGTAGATGGCCGGAGATTTGCAGCTGATTTTTCCTCTGATCGAGCTCTAACAGATCAGTGCAGGAAAATGGCTAGTTACATTCAATGCCTTGAAAACCAAACTAGTTATATTCTACTAGCAGCATGGCCCGGCGTTGCCCGTGCTTGATTCAAAAATCGTACGACTCATACAGCAATCGCTATCACTTGACTTAAAATATTTTTGCCCTTCCTTGCCTTTAAAGAAGTGCCCTTTGCCGTGCTGATGTTGCTACATGCCTTACTTTTTGCCTATCTCACACTGCAAATTTTTTCTAAGATCTATACTAAACATTAAATCTGTTACGAAAAAAAGAACTAAACAAAATGAACACAAAACGATCTGCTTTAAATAAGGACTCCTAACTGGAAAAAACGAATGAAAAAAGAATGTTAACAACAAATACTTTTTCACACCCAACCCAATTCTGCGGAATCAGAATCAACATGGAGTTTAAGCAAGCGAATGAGCTAATTGGAGTAAAGTGCCATGCAGATTTAAATTTTTCCCACTTGTGACAAATGCAGCTATCGATTGTTTTGCATGCTAGAATGCTAGTTAACATTCGTATAAGTCAGCTGTTGGCTCTCACGCTGGCCAATATAATCTTTCTGCCTATTCGTGGCAGCCAGCTATAGGCTCTCACTCTGGCCAATACAAAATGGCCACAAACTACATGAAAACTGCTGTAGAAGCATGAAAACATCGATTATTTCCACTATCGGTGGGAGTTGGGGAATGCAAAGTCAGTCTTGGCCTACCTACTAACTTGGAGCATGTACATGTAAATTTTGGTGCAAATCCGTCGAAAATTACGGCCATGCATTCGTTACACACACACACACACACACACACACATCACCCACAACTATCACCAATTACGATGAATAGATGTTCCTTCAAGAAGGTCCTGTGTCACGATAGCTTATTGGGTTTTAACTCTTTGCTTGTCCAGGGGATTTTCGCGTGTACTATCCAGACGTTCATGCTTGTTTTCAGATTTATAACTATTGCAAGGTAACTCGGTTTATTTGGCGAATAGAATGAGCTGATATATAGGGTTTCAAATAATAATAACGAACAAATCGAAAGTTATTTACACTACGCTCTGTGCATTACATGAGATGCACAGGTTTTTGATTAAGTGAAACACTATATATCAGCACATTCTATTTGCCAACTAAACTGAGTTGCCTTACAGTAGTCATAGATCTGAAAACGAGCAAACGACCTATGGTTATATATGATACGCAAAATATTAGACAACGCCTTTCCTCAAACGTCCTGCTCAAAAGTAGACCCTTTCCTTAAGCGTCCTTAGTTTTACCACTCTTTTTCAAAATCATGGCGCTTGTTTGCACCTCATATGATGCACGGACGTGGAAATCACGCGTTCTCTGCATCATATATGATGCGCGGGACGGGCAAAGGGTTAAACTCAATCCAGACTTCAAGTGAAGCACGTACATACGATCCAACACTAAAGATGGTGGGAAAAATGGCCGGTTTCCTGTACCGACTACTGTACCTGACTCTGCGTGCTATAGTTTAGTTTTACAAGAGTCAGCTCAGGTTGAAATTAGGCTACTTCTCTTATATAGCAGCAGAAGCTGGCGGGTTTTCATCTTCCAGGTTCGATAGAGTCCAAAAGTGCCTCCCCGTCCTTGTAAGTGACAAATTATTTCCCACCCTACCAACCCTTTATCACAGACGAAACGTCGGAAGCCTCTTATTATTCTATCGCTATTTCTATGGAAGGTGCTCAGAAGAACTACAGTTTTAACAGTTCAAACCTACACGGCTAAGACCCGCTATACTATGAACATTGTAGCGAATCGCCTTCATTACCTTCATATTCCATTTGTGAGATGTAAGTTCTACTCGAGCAGCTTCTTCCCGCAAACCACTGCTCCGTGGAACCGACTTCCAAGTGTGTATTTTCCCGATCACTTAACCAGTTCTAGTCTAGTATTAACCGATATCTCCGTCACATATCCGCGTAAACTGTGTCTCTTAACCTGTAAACTTCTGTTTCGAGCGATTCCCAGGTTTTGTACTGGATGAAAATCACACTATAAATAAATAATTATAACATCAGATGATAAATTTCGATTAGAAACTTTCAGCTTCTATTGTTATGACTTTGAAATACTGCACCTTTTTTGACACTTAGATAACTTATTACACCAAATTATAGACAATGAAAAACACACATATCATAGACCAACTACAGAAAGGTTCTTTCACCAAATTACATACAACCAACCAAATAAACTTAACTCAAGTTAGAATGAAAGTAAGACAAAGCTGCATGTCAGGAAAAACGCCCTATACATCAAATTCAATTAGATTACCTTATCAATACAATGAAAAGATTAAAGACAGCGTCTGTCCGCCTGTTTGCTCGTTTGTTTCAAACACATACACGCACATAAACATACACACACACACACACACACACACATATATATATATATCTCCGATGCAATGAGAACGAAAGTAATATATAAAATCTAACGTTCACAGCATTAATCCAAAAGAGGGCTCCATACCGATAGTAGAGCGATAATTATTCATTATGATTTTATCATATAGACAAAAACTGTTTACTCACTACAAAGATGCAACTACGTTTCGGTGCATTTCAGTTGCACCTCGAATGGTAAGAACCAAAAATTGAAATGCACCGAAACGATGTGTGTGTGTGTGTGTGTCTATAAATATACATACATACATACATATATATATATATATATATATATATATATATATATATATATATGATTGGTATGGTTTCATCCCAACACAGACGGTCTTAAAAATACTATTTGCTGAGTATGCGGGGATTTTGATAGATCTCCCTCGTACAAAGCGTGTTTGTATGCTGGAAAGGCTGTGATTTCACATTTCATCGGAAATGACCAGCACCTCATATGTAGATAGATAGATAGCAAAAAAACTAAGATAGATATAAAAAGACTGAGAGTGACAGACTGATAGATATGAAGAGACTAATATAGATATACAGATATGAAGAGATTAAGATAAATAGATAGACAGATAGCTATGAGCAAATAGAAACAGATATGTCTGAACAAATTCATATATATATATATATATATATGTGTGTGTGTATGTGTGTGTGTGTGTGTGTGTGTGTGTGTGTGTGAAAATATATAGAAAATAGGAAAGAACTTGTTTGATAAATAGTCCAAAGTTCTTTAGTATTTTTGTTACTATTTTTAAAAAATAGTGCTCGATACAAAAGTAGAGCATATATATATATATATATATATATATATATATATATATATATAGAGAGAGAGAGAGAGACGAGACACGCACACATAGATAGATAGATAGATAGATAGATAGATAGATAGAAAAAAATCTAAGATAGTTATAAAAAGACTAAGAGACAGATATGAACAGACTAAGATAAATAGATAGACAGATAGCTATGAGCAAATAGAAATAGATACATCTGAACAATTCATATATATATATATATATATATATAGAGAGAGAGAGAGAGAGAGAGAGAAAGAGAGAGAGAGAGAGATCGATAGAGCCACACGCACACATAGATAGATAGATAGATAGATAGATAGATAGATAGATAGATAATGTATTTCAATTTACTCATTTCGCTGTGTCATTTCTGAAAATGCTAACATGAACCTAGTTTTATTCATTTTTGAATTCTGATGATTATCTGTATTCTTTGCTTCTCTTTCGCGGTACAGCCGATTCACCTGACTTCATTTTTCTTCACCCACGGACGTGTCTTTGTAAATATATCATTTTGCGTATAAGGAAATAAAAACAAAAAGAAAAAAAGAAAAGAATATAATATTCATTATGTATATGCTGGTAAGCTTCCTGCAAAATATTTTGATTACAGTGTTGCTCTGATTGGCTGCAGAAAAAACATCTAGGTGTGTCTCGCATGGCCTACTTCCGCTTTTGAAGAAAAATTACTTTCTCTCTCTCTAGGGGTGTGGCGCCATGTGCTTCCGGTGAGTGCTTATTTTAGTGTGATACTTTAGATTTACGCGGGAAAATGAAACCCAAACAGGAGGCGGGGAGGTGTGTCAAAAAAAAGAAATAAATTAAGGAGAAAGAAAAGGAAAGAAAGGATAGTATTTTAGCCATTAGAGTAAGGAAAAGAGTTTGTGGCAGGAAGGAAAGGAAAGACAAGTTGTTGGCGGGGCAAAATTTGATAAATAAAGCAGATATTGAGAAATGATGTCATTAACGTTAAGAGTTTAGAAAGAAAGAAAGAAAGAAAGAAAGAAAGAAAGAAAGAAAGCGTTTAGAATGAAAAAAGAAAGAAGGAAGAAAGGACGGGAGGAAGGAAGGAAGAAAAAGTGTTTAGAAAGCAAGCAAGCAAGAAAGAAAAGAAAGAAAGCATTTAGAATTAAGAAAGAATTGAATAAAAATTGAATTTAATATTTTTCTGTGATATTATTTTTCATAATAAACATTGATTTAAAAAAAATTATTATTTATGCACGAGTATTTAAAAATAATATATGCGGAATTTTAATAGTATTCTTGTTAAAAATGTAAAACAAAATTTAAACAGTTTAGTATTTTTTTAAAAAAAATATACAGTAAAAATATTAAACTGCTTAATTTTGCTTAGAAAATCGTATTTTATTGGATAGGAGATGATCGATCCACACCTCACATAAAATACGATTATCCAAAAATATTAATGAGACAGGTTCAGTTCACTATGTAACTTCAACAAAAAAAAACGAACCCTGATCAGTGAAACAATTAGGGAATCATTTGGAACACAATTTTTGAAAGACGACGAAAAGTAACACATAACAAATTACCACATTCACACAGACTTTAAAATTCTTCATTCTGAATCCTAAACTCTCCAAACATTAGAAGATAAGGTTCATACACTTTTTAGAAATGCATGTAATTTGTGGCGGAGGCGGAAGTGGGTAAACTGAAAGACAGAGACTTGAGGTTAATTGCTTCTCCGCCTTGGTAAACATAAATTCAGATGAAAAAAATACAACGTTGAATATGTGCAAATAAATGTATAATTTATTTACATACATACAAAACTCGTAACTTTTATCTCTTGCTGTTACTAAAGCAACAGATATAGAGAATGATTAAATTACACATTACTAATCACTGCTATTGTTTCTATCACAGCGTGTTGGTGTTGACATGAAGGCTGGTTTGTGTCGTGTCTCTCAGCTTGCCGGTGTTGACGTCCAAGTTGATCTGTGTTGAGTTTGTTTTAAGTAGAGAATATATATCTGTTGTCCGGATCTAAATTAAAATGTTGGTTTTTGGAGCGGGATTGGCTGTGATTGGTCAATAAATTGTTCGTTTTATTTTGATTAAAACGGATGTATTCTTGGATCCTATGCGCAGAGAATGTATTTACGCAGTTTGATATGAGTCGTCGAGCGGTCAACATCAGGTTTGTATAGAAATATGTAAGGGGCGTGATAATTTTTTAATGAAAATAATAGTTTATCTGTATATAATTTGTTACAAAATAAGAGTTTAAGTTAATATTATTAAATTTCAGTATCCCAAAAGCTTTTTTTTCTTTCAAAATAGTAAAAAAAAAGTATCGTGTTGTCGAAGTAACTGTGATAAAGAAAAAGTTTTCTGTATTTTGTCTTCCCCGAGATCAGAATACGTGAGAACGATGGTGTAAGGCAATACCTCGGGACAACACGCCTGACAAACGAAACCCTTTTGTTTGTGAAAGGCATTTTCTGACTCTGAAACAGTGCTTATTAAAAGAAAAGTACAACCCAGAAACCAACCATCAATATCTGATCATTTGCTATAAGTGTATTAGCTAGTCCTCAATCAAAAACAACAAATAAAACTTGTGCTTCAGTGCGAAATGTGCAAAATGATGAATTGGCACAGTTTCTAGAAAAAGGCAAAATCCTCACTTTTAAAACATTGTTTCAGGATATTGATCAACAGGATTTTATCTCAGCAGTTACATGCTATAAATCAAACAAGCTTAACCAATCTGTTGTCTGTTTCACTGGAAGTATTCCAACGTTTTTAATTAAAATTTTGGAAATCTTGAAACTCGAATGTTACCATGCTGGTATATATACAACAATTTTTTCTCATTCAAAACATCGAATATCAATGTTTCACCACTGAAGCAATTCGTTAATATAGTAACTTAAAGATTGATAATAAAAAAAGTATTTTAAAAAAGCATATTAGCGATATGTCACCACAAAGTATTGGGACATAATATGATGATTCTCATATTCTTATCAAGGCATGTGAATATTGTTACATTTCTGTCAATAATAACATAACAGAATTCAGAATAATTTTAATTTACCCAGTGTGATAGCATTACCAGACTTGACCTCAAAAGTTTCAAAATTAAATGACTTTAATATTCTTGGTGATATTTTAGTCTGAAAATCAGAAAAAAATGTATTTTTTGTTGAAGAATTTTTATGCCAAGGTTGCTCTAGAATATCATAGTGGAAACTTATTTGCTTTGACTGAAAATTTTAGCAAAAACAGTATTAGACATCATGGTAAAAATTTTTAAATAGTGGACCAAAAATTTTACTCCAAATGCTCCGAGTTGCCAAATGACAGGCAACGTTTTTTATATGAAAATAACTGATATATTGTTAATGGAATCAGTCAAATAACAGCAATTTTATGTAATAATAACAGGACCTATCCATATGTTTTTTCCAAAAAATTGATAACTAAATATTGCCTTGATTATGTTCTTCTTTTTAAAAATATTTGGAATAATTGGATTGCTGAACTTACTTCTAAATTATTTTTTTTTATTATTCTGAAGGCAAAAAATGTCAACAAAATAGGAAATTGTAAAAGGTCTTTTTGATTATGAAAAGTTTTGGTAAGCTTCTGAAACTAACTGATGTAGCAGTTTACCCAAAACCTGTTCAGCGACAAAATGTTTTCCATTTTTAAATTTTTTTTTTTTATGATCAAACTGTAGCTGCAATTAAGACACCCTCATTATGTTACAGAAACAGATAATTTCATTGTAAAACTTTTAAAAGTTAGGAAAATTAAAGAAATATATGGTGATGATCCACTGAAAAATAGGGATATCAAATTTAGATGATGAACATCTGTTATTTCTTTCTAATTTTGGAAAAATCAAAAGAATGGAAGGAAATCAAGAAAAAAAGAATGAAATCATTAAGAGATACTAATTTAACCATTGAACATAATTCAATGGCTTAATTGATGCTTATAGATATTTGCTAAGAAGTGCGTTTAATTTTGTCATAATTGATGAATTTACGACAGTCTATTTAGAAAATGAATTTGGAAAATTAAGACAAACTTCTGGAGATGCATATTTAATAGGTTGAAAATGTTATTGACAAATTTTACATTGAAAAAACTAAAATACTTCTGGAATTAAATGTTGTTGTCAAAGAATACAACTTTGATCCAGGCCATAATTGCTCAAAATGTGAACATTTGCCGGATGAAATGGTATGCCAAATATCTGATAACTTACCAATTCTTGAAACTAAGATCCCTAAAGGTATTAAAATGTATTTTTTATATAGTAATCTATGCTACAAGATTGTCCCACAGAAGAGTAAATATTTAATATTAGTTTTTAATTCCAAGAATATGAACTTTTTTGAAAGAAATAGATTGTGGCAATCTAAAAATTCCACTGGGTACCACAGGGATAACAGATAATTTTTTATTTTCAATTTCCCTCCTTTTTATGGATATTAAGTCGTTAACTCCCCAAATTATCCTGTTAATTAATTTTGTGTTCTTGTTAATATAAATTGATTTTACTTTTCAAAACTGTGTATACTGATAGTATCTATTATTGGATCATAGCGAAATAAGTATTTTCATCATCTGTGAAACAAATTGTAAAAATTAAAATAGATTTTTTTAAAGATTATCAAAATTATTGTTTCTCTGAAATTCACATTTCCTGTCAAGTATTTTCAAACTTTGTTGATACAAGATTTTGTAAAATACTGAAATTGCTTTCTGATTGTATTAAGCAATTATAATTTCTGTAATCGATTGGCATAAACAGATTAATTCATTATTTTTGCAATATTATCTAAAAATGTCTAATTTATGGAGAATAAATTGATTTGCGGGCATTAAGATATTTTATGGTATTTTTGTTCTTTCTTTATACATTTGCATTTATGGAAATGAGTAAATAATTGTAAGAGGTTTCCTAATATTATATATAGTTGCCAATTAACTAATTACTCGCCATTACTAATAAGTTCCTTTTTAAAAATGTTCTCAGTTATTGATATTTAGTAGTAATTTAGGTCTCCCAATGTCCGCCCCAAGTCGTGGACCCCAGTGACATAGATGCTAGGCCTGGTATAAGTATCACCTTGTATTAAATCAATTACTACATCTACTGCAAGGAAAGTTAGTTCACTGTCTTGTGCCAGAATATTTTTCTCGTTAGAATCTAGTACTGCATTTAAATTCATAAAGTCTAGGTTCCATAGTATATTAAATTATTCAATACGGAATTCGGTGAGGAACAAACTCATAATGATTGATTGATTGATCGTTCTGTTGTAACGGGATATCAATTCTGTTAATTATTTATGCCGAAAATATTTT